CTCTTTCCCAATTCAAATACAGTAATGGGATGCCTACATTGATGTCAACACATAGGTGCATGAGATTTGACCAGGATTATTCTTCATACACATCTGCCACAGTTTTGAAACAACACCAAGGTCAGCTGGACGCTACTTAAATACACAGATAGCGTAATCTCCATGTCATTATAGGCTAACATGACTAGGATAGGATATGTCCTATACAGTGATAGGATGCTTGGGAATGGTTCAGAGCTGCACCAGGGGAGGTTTAGACTGGACATGAAGAAGCATTTCTTTACTGAGAGGGTGGTCCAACACTGGAGCAGGCTTCCTAGAGAGGTAGTTGATGCCCCACGCCTGTCAGTGCTTAAGAGGCATTTGGACAATGCCCTTAATAACATGGTTTAACTTTTGGTCAGCACTGAATTGGTCAGGCAGCTGGACTAGATTATTGTTGTTGGTCCCTTCCAAATGAAAAAGCCTATTCAATTCTATTCAATATATACATTTTGAAAACTATTGAACTGCTATTCCTCTCCCTGTTTTGAATATTTCAGATGCTAAACACACACGTGTAATAAACTGCATTTAATGATCTTATAAAATATGGTTCTCCACCTTTTGCTATGGAATTCCAAAGCAAAATTTCTGGCGTTTTCAATGGAAACAGAAATTGGGGAAGACTAATACGACAGACAACGTCAGTCAAGAATTAAATGAAGTATGGTATAGTACCTGCAAGGTGGTATCCGCTGATTTGTATGGGGGTCACATTTTGGTACTAAGATTGTACAGGCAAAAAACATAAGGTACTTGTAGCAGTTGGTCTGAACCAAGGCTGGGAAAAGAGAAGACTCCCAGCTGATAGAGGCTTCCTTCTGTGTCCTGTGGCCCAGGTAGTTTGGATAATAAGTATAGTTGTAAGGCAAGTTCATACAGAGTTCCAGAGTAATTGGTTCACACTGACCTTTCACAAGAAGAAAACAAAAAAGAAACACAAATGGTGTGAGATTAAATGAAATACAGAAGAAATAATTACATAAGTATTTAACAAATTTATCAGTCAGGAGATCTCCTCTCAGGCTTGAGAAACAAGTTTCAGAGCTCAAGACCCTATATGAGCCTATTCATACCAGTAAAGAACAGCGGGTTTGACCTCTGCCTACCTCATAACCTATTCAGAGACTCATATTCCCTTACCAGTATGCATTAACTTCCCGAGTAACATCCTAACTTTAACACGGTACAATAAACCATTCTTTAGAAACAGATTTATTATTTTCAAATCAAGTTTCTGATGATTTTCAAGACCGCCTGTACTGTACAGCAACACACTTGTTACTGGTGTACTATGCTACCATAACACACCTCATACTGGCTGGGCAACTGTCAAAATTAAGAAGACTGGGATCATCGGATACTTTGGGTTGAAAAGGATCTCAGGAATTCTCTAGTCCAACATCCTGCTCTCAGCTTGGTAAGCTCTGAGGACTGACTGATCAGGTTTCTCAAGGCTTTATTCAGTCAGGTCTTGAAAAATCTCTAATGACAGAGACTGCACAATTTCTCTGTATAGAATACAGAAGGCAGGAAGTATTGCACAAACACTGAGTAAGAGACAGTCTACATGCTAATCATTTCATTCAGATAAGACATAATTGATAATAAAGAGGATGATAAGCAAAAGCAAAATAAATGCAACAGCTACAAGTCCATATGATTACACAGACTATAGCTACATACAAAAATCATCCAGCTTTTAGGGGGTTTATCACAACACATATTGAACTGACAGAGTATTTTGGATTTAAAAAATTGTACAGCTTTTGTATTTCTTCCCAAATTGGTTGTCAGAAATACCGAACTATTTCTGTTGTCTCAAACCACTTAGTACCAGCTTTGGAGTATATAAGGTTCAAAGACTTCAACAATCCTCCTCACATTACTGCCACTTCCTTTTCTTCACGATGAACTCTCACTTGTCCTCCCACACTTCAGCCCCAGATGACCAGATCAGTTTGGTTTTGTCTTTTGATTTTTCCCCAGTAAGCATCTTTCCCTAATGTGTACAGAATGTTACATGTTTGTCAGTATCCCAAGATGAAACACAAGCAAATGAACACAAAAGTACGTGCAATGTTCTAAGTGTTTGTATAACACAACATTATTCAAGACTAACGGGTAGAAATGCACATATGTCATTCTCTCTTTTTTTATGCCTCACATTCATAGGGGTTTAAGTGAATTCTAGTAGAAAATCTAGTCCACTGAAATGCCCTTGTAGGATAGCTCTTTACATGTTTTCAATATGATTACAATTTTCACACTGTGTTTAGAAAGCTTCTGTCACATTATGTGTGTCCTGGTTTCGGCTGGGATAATTTTCTTCCTAGTAGCAGGCATAGTGCTGTGTTTTGGATTTAGTAGGAGAAGAATGTTGATAACACACTGATGTTTTAATTGTTGCTGAGTACTGCTTATGCTAGTCAAGGACTTTGCAGCTTCCCATGCTCTGCCAGGTGCACAAGAAACTGGGAGGGGGCACAGCCAGAATAGTTGATCCAAACTGACCAAAGGGCTATTCCATACCATATGACATCATGCTCAGTATAGAAACTGGGGAGGGTTGGCCAGGGAGCAGCGATCGCTGCTCGGGAACTGTCTGGGTATCGGTCGGCGGGTGGTGAGCGATTGCATTGTGCATCACTTGCTTTGTAGATTATTATTATCATTATTATATTGTTATTATTATCATTACTATTTTACTTTAGTTCAATTCTTAAACTGTTCTTATCTCAACCCAGGAGTGTTTCTCACTCTTACTCCTCCGATTCTCTCCCTGATCCCATCAGAGTAGGGGGAGTGAGCGAGCGGGTGCGTGGTGCTTAGTTGCTGGCTGGGGCTAAACCACAACAATGTGCAAAAGTGTCATTGTAGGTTTGAAAATAATAACTTTGACTCTCACACCCAATTCCCTACAGTCCGCAAGCAGAGTAACAACAGAACATACACTCCAGGAGAGCATCTGACTGAATTTAAGTAACCCAAATGTTATTCTTTTCTTCTGATGTCTGTCCTACAGTTTAAGAGATCTTACTACTCCCTTATTTATAGTATATGTAAGTACAAACTAATGAGTGGGGAACAAGGAATAAAATTCATTGCATCTTTTAGCCTAAAACAAAAAAAAAAACCCAAAACAAACCCAAACAGATTATGCCTGGGTTTAATATCTTCATGTATTTATTATTAACTTGCTCTACATACTATATAGGAATTAGTTCCAAACATAGTAATGGAAGTGAATGTGATATTTCACAGAATCATAGAATGGCTGAGGTTGGAAGGCACCTCTGGAGGTCATCTGGTCCAACCCCCCTGCTCAAGTAGCACCATCTGGAGCAGGCTGTGCAGAATCATGCCCAGACAGATTTTTACTGTCTCTAAGGATGGAGCCTCCACATCTCTGGGCAACCTGTGTTCAGTCACCCTTGCAATAAAAAAAGTGCTTCCTTACATTCACAGGGAACCTCCTGTGTTTCAGTTTGTGCCCACTGCCTCTGGTCCTGTCACTGAGCACCGAAATAACCTGGCTCTGTCTTTCCCCCGCCCCCCCACACACACACTCTCCCTTCATATATCTGTTCTGTTACCCTAAATATGTTGTAACTGCACTATAATGCAGAGCCTAAACTGATCAGAAATTGTTGCACATGGATAACACCCATCATATTCAATATTGCAAAATGTGGCCTAAGTTTTGGAATTTTCCAACCAAAGAGTTATTTGGGCCAGAAAATACTGCTTTGTCAAAACTGAAAATTTCCATGGGAATTCTCATCTCTTACCAAAGACAAAATAACTCTGGTCAAAACATGAACAGTGAAAATAACATGAAAAAAGACAATAGTACTTCCAGATGTTATGCAAGAAAAATCTCTCCCAAATTCTCTTGCTGTTCCATTGTGTATAAACAATTAAATATTCACCAGACTAGAAAGGAAGAAAGAAACATGATCCAGAAGTCTAATTCAGATTCTGTGTTGAGAATTACGGACTGTTGCCCATAATATGATGAGGAAACATCTTCACTAAAAAGCTCTTCAGTTGATCATGATATGGAATAGGAACATCGTTTTAGAACTCAAATACCACATGTCAAAAAATGTTTTTCACTATCTTGTAACATAGTCCTAGCCACTCGAACATTTTCCAAACTTGTTATCCATACATACAATAGAATACAAAAAACTGCATTGATCAGGAGAAGATTTTGGATCACAGGACAAACTGCTTTGGACTGCAGGAAGCCTCATACTGATTTATCCACAAGGAAGATGTGTCCAAGAAAGAAAGTACACTTTCAGCTCTCTCTCATTGTGAAAAAGACTGAATTGCAGTCACACTGCTTGGAAGACTTGCGTTTTACAGGACTGTAGTCACTGTTTATGAAATGTAATTTGCTTAAGAGAGAACTGCTCCCTGAGTATATAAGAACCAGAAGATACTGTGGGTATTTACATATTTTCCTACTTGTTGGGTAAGGCTGCTTCTGGTGCCTTGTTTGCCAGCCAAATAGAGGACCTGTCTCACACATGACTGGTGACTACACAGCCACCAGCTGTGAATCCAATGTCGATCCTGTCACAATATATCAGATACATTTTATGTGTTCTTTACTAAGCAGTAATTTTATTTAAAAATAAATAAAATTACAAAATACTATCTCTTTTTGACCTGAGTAAATGTAAAGTTGCTACAGTTTTAAACATATAAAACAGGGTTTACTGTAACACCTGTTAAGTTTTGGAGGCATTATGAGTAAAGAAGCTTTGAAACAATAGATAGAAATATGGAAGCCCCCCATTCCCTGATAAACCACAGCTTTGTGGCAAAGTCAGTAATACTCAAATAAAAAAGCCAAATCTTCAAATGGAGAAACTGAGAAGCAACACTTGTTCTTAGAGGCACAGGCTGCTAAAGCTGCTGCTTCTCCTGCAGGCAGAGAGATCTGGAACTAAACATCCTTCACCTCCAGCCCACAGAGAATCAATCTTATCATACACATTTAAACTTGTGACTACCTAGAGTGGAGTTATTCAAGTCAGTAATTATATCTCAATGAATGCTCATGTATTCTGATGTTAAAACATCAGGAAAATACGGCTTTCAAATCTCACCAAAGACAAGAAAAGATTACATGAAGAACTGTTTTCTTTGGAGATGCCAGGTACCTACAGTTCCAAGGAGTTTCAACAGAAACTGCAGTCGTGGTCAACAACCAAAGTAATTTCATCTGTTGTGATGTCTCATGTTTGACTTCTCCTTGATTAGTGCATGTAGCCCAAGATATATTGCTTCCTTTTCACACGGAGGGGGACAACCTCTCATGGGAGATAATATCTGAGCATGAATTGCAAGACGCAGAGGAGAAAATGACCGAGATAGTTCAATGAAGATATCTGAGATTTCAACAACAACAAAAAAATTAAATTAATTTAAAAATTTAAGTTTTATAGTTTGTTCTTAGTTTTGTGTTATATGGATACCTTCCTTCCCATTTCATAGCCCTTTCTAAATATTTCTTGAGGGAGAACGATGGTTTCGTTCACAACAGGCAAGTAATAAAACCCACAACCTACTACTCAAATGACCTTAGAAGGCTCCTTCTCACCTGAATAGTTTGGTTATGGATATGGATTAGAGGACAGACCTACACAGGTCATGTACATATTAGGCATCTGCTGCAGACCACCTTAGGAAAAAGAGGAGGTAGATAAACCCTTCTTCAGAGAGCTGGAAGATGCCTCATGAATGCAGGCCCTGGCACTTGTGAGAGTTTTAATCATGCTGGTATCTGCTTGAAGGACAGTGAGTTGGTCTTAATGGAGAGCCTCCTCGGAGTACAGGAAGAGTCCTTTCCAATGCAAAGTCAGTCAAGCAAGTGTGGCATAAGGCTACCTTGGCTGAATACAAATCTCCTGACCAAGCTCAAACACAAAATAGAAATATACAGAAGAGGGGACAGAGCACTTAAGTGGAACATAGAGACATTTCCCAAGCATACAAGAATGGAGTTAGAAAAGCCAAAGCTCAGCTAGAGTTGAAACTACTGAGCAATGTAAAGGGCAAGAAGGAGAGCTCTTGTAAGCACATTGGCAGCAAAAGGAAACATAACAAAAATGTTGGTCTGCTGCTCAGTGGGGCAGGGGAAATAGTGACCAGGGACATGGAAAAGGCCAAGGTACTCAATGTATTTTCTGCCTCAGTTTCCACTGAGGAATGACATTGGAAGGCTGCTTTATATCATTTTCAAAAGGTCATGGCAACCCTGGCACCTGATGACTGGAAAAAGGCAAACGTCACATCCATCTTTAGGAAGGGCAAGAAGAAGGATGCAGGGGACAACAGTCCAGTCAGTCTATCCTCAGTACCCAAGAAGATTATGGGACCCATTCTGGAAGACATGTCCACACATGAAGAGAAAAAGATGACTGGGAACAGCCAGGGGGAACATCATGCCTGATTAATCTGATTGCTGTCTCTGACAAGATGACTGGCTGTCATTCCCTTTTATTCAGCACAGGTGCATATCTGGAGTATTGTGTCCTGTTTTTCGGCTCCCCAATTCATGAAAGACATCAACATACTGGAATGAGGTCAGTGGAGGGCAACCAAGCAAGTTAGGAGACTGGAGCACATGATCTACAGGCAAAAGTTGGGAAAAGAGTGTTTGTTCAGCCATCAAAAAGGAAGGCTAAGGGGAGATCTTATTGCTGTTAACAATTACCTAATGGGAAGGTATAAAGCAGATGGAGCCAGACCCTTAGAAGTGTGCAGGAATAGGATGAGAGGCAAAAGACACAAGTTGTAACAGAGAATTCCAGTTACATATATGGAAAAAAGTTTTTTACCATGAGAATGGCTGGAATAGGTCTCCCGGAAAGACTGTGAAATCTCTGTCCTTGGAGATACTCAAAACTCAGCTGCACAAGGTCATGGGCTACACAACTTAATCGGCACTGCTTTGATCAGGAGTTTGGACTAGTTGACCAAAGGTGTGAACTCACTTCCTTCTAATGCTAAACATGGTACTTATGGTTGTCCCTTTTCAAAAAGTTAGGAGAAGCGTTGACAGAAGCACATGTAAAGCATATATGCCCAGGTATCTTATATCTTTACTTTAGCAGCATCTAAAGGCCCCAGCATGAATGGTGCCTGTCTCAAAAAAGCCTGTCTCACTTGTGGGTGACAGTCACAACTTTAGAGAGACTGTGCAGTTTGGACTAGTTGACCTTCCCATATCCATTCCAACGAAATGGAAAAACATTATCCAAACAAGCTACCATACAGTAACAAACCTTAACTTGCAGAGATACTGCTCAGTACAAAGCAACTATAGGATATGTCTACACATTCATATCTAAGTGAAGGTAAGCCTGCCCATGTGCCAAGGTGACCTGAATTGATGTGACCGTATTAACACATCACCAACTTTAATTAATTCTGAACAATTCTGAACACAATTCTGCCCCAGTTTCAAAACCTAGCCAAATATACTTCTTTTGAGTATCTGTTCACAGTGCTGCATTGCACAAGTGAAAAAGAGAGCTACTCAGAAGCAAGTGTACAGTGGGTACAGGAGGCTTGCATGGAGTGGTATAGTACAGGACACAGAAATGAAGATATGCAGTGTTGAAGGCCCCGACCCTCTACCATATGTATTGGTCAGAAGAATAACTGGTTTTGCCAGTTTGAATATCAAAATTATTCCTTTATAAAAGGGCTAAAAGCTCTCCAGACTACTAAACACAGTACCACGTTTTCTTATATTTTGAAAATAAACCAGTAGCTTCTGCTTTATGCTTACACTATGTTGTTTACTTTATGTAAACACGGAATGCCGTTAAATGTTAACAAAAAGTGCAACTGTAAACACCCATTAAGAACACATCAAAAATTCGCATAAGGGAAAATATATCAATGTCAAAAGTTATGAGTATCTCTTAGTACATCAATAAGCAAGAATTATGATGAAACTTTTGTTTTAACTTTACCCTTTTCAATATTTAATCACTACACATGTGCATTAGATAGTAAATTAAAGTATTACTTACTGTGTCCTACCCTGATCCTCATCATACTCTAAAACACCCTAAAACAGTGATAGTATGAAGCATGTAACCTACTTACTGCAGTTTGTCTGGCTGTTTCTCATCTCACAGAGAGAAGTTCCACAGGGATCAGGACAGGAAGTACATCTCTGGTCTCCCTCCTGACAGAGGGTTTGACCTGAGGAAAATAGAAATTTACTATTCTAATTATTTACCAGACTAATAAAAATGACTGGAGTGTAGGGATGAGAAAATACAGAGTTTACATTACAATTAAGTATTTCCTTTAGGTAGTTGAATAAGTACCCTACAGCATTTCAAGTGCAATAAGGAAGTGTTGTAAGGAAGAAAAGTGTGCAGCACTGTCCAGGTGTCACTTTTCTTTACCCCTATATTTAATACAAGAATTTATATCCTAGTTTCTGAATGAGAGGTATGGATCTCTGAAAGCCAGTTACCATGATCCTCTGGCAGAGTATGAAAAGTCATGTAAATCAGATTTCAAAGGGAACAATAGGTCCTAGCTGAAAGAGAATACCCTCTGGGAATTATTCTTCAGTGCCATTCAGTTGATCTGGTTCTCATTTTATGATTGTTTTGGTGGACAATAAAAACCATCCTGAAGAAAGGTCGTCAGAGCTGAAGCTTTATTGTCCTTCTTTGGCTGGTTAAAAGACAAAGAACAAGAAGAAAAAGAAACCCCAAAAGGCTATGGTCCCAAAGATGGAATTCAAAATAACTAAAACCAGCACTTCATCAAAAAGTTTCTGGAGCATATTACCTGGGTAGTTCGTTTCTCTGACAAATACTTGGACTTCACTCTGTCTCATAGTGGTGATAGCTCCTTTCCAAACCATTAAATTCTCTCTTCCATATGACTCTTGCAAAATCAGTCATTTGATTTACTATTCTGTACACAGAGACTGAACAGTTTTGATTCTATCATCTCATCCTGTTTAAAATGATTTATTGCAACTCTGGCGTAGCGTTTGTATTGCACTACTGTCTACGAACATTAATTATTCAGTCACAGTGTCCTTATACTGGGCATACAGAAGATGCTGAAGAAACACCTTGTTTCAATGACCTTGACAACAACCTTGTCCCACACAACTGATGATGTAGTCATATCTATTCATAATTATGTGAATTTACTTCCCTTCATACATGTTATATGTTGAAGCAATGGAGGTACTTTCTTTTGCTGTAGCAATTGACTGTCTTATACTACAGGTGGATCTGACTGCAAAATGGAATTTGAAAGGTAGGGTAAACCTTTTAACTTCTAAAGCTATCACAAATCTTTACATTAAAATTCATTTTTAAAGTTTGCTCCAACTCCTTCTTATCCCACAGTGGAAGAGTTTCTCAACTCTTTAAAAATCCCTGCGTGGATTCTTTTGATCCTAGCACAGTCAATGCTGAATTTCTACAAACACACTCTACCCTGTCTTTTGAAGGGATCACAGAACTAGCTGTGAGTACATCTATATTAGATTTCTATTGTCACAACATGAAGGACAGCAGTAATGTTAATAGGTGCCATACCTTAAATTTCCTTAAGGTATGTAGTGAAGGAGACCATTTTTCTCATTCGGATATAGAAGAAGCAATGGTCATTCGTAATCCCTATATGTATATATTTGTACTATTACACAAGGCCCCTCTATCCTTATATAGGCAAGTGGCAAGTCACTACATCTTGACCCCAAATTTCTATGCTGATTTCACATATTTACTGTGTTTGTAACAAAACCAGTATTCCAGATCACTTCAGCTGTAACTTCACTGCCTCTGCTAGGCATATCCAAATTGTTTGATTTGTAGAGCAGAGAAGTCTTTATATTGTATATGTCCTATTACATTTTCTGTAGTTGCTAAAATCAACAACATACATAAGAAAAACAAAAGAAAGTTACAAACAAGAATTCTGCCTTGCTTTTACATGGACTTTGCAAGGAACTAAAGAGGAATAATCCAAATGAAGTCCAAATCCTGCCTATATATTCTCATGCAAATTTAGGACAGACAGGATATGGTTGCATAAAGGAAGGATTTTACTCTACACAATATTGCACAATATTAGACAGTTCTTTGCACATTGAAGAATGAATAATAAGAACAAGGCAAACTTTTGTATTTAAAAGCTTTGCAGTTTAGCTAAGCAGAAAAATCTTTTAGCATATAATGAGATCATTGACTACATCATTATCATCCCATCCTACTCCTCTGCATTTAGTATCCTTGAATCTATATCTGTTCGTCTTACCAAAAAAGATTTTAACCATTTCTTCCACATCCACAGAGGCAAAAAGCAGTGAAAAAACCCCATATCACTGACTTCTAGCCCAGATCATGCATCAACGTTTTCAGTCAAATTCTCTTTTATTAGTGATAAACAAATTTAAGAGGCTTAAGTTGGGTGAACTTTAAAAGTTGAAATGGTTGCTTTATAGAATGCTCTAAATAGTTTTGTACTTTTCAATTTATCCCATTCTCCTGCCTCTTCTCTTTTATATTAAAAATGATAGTTTCATTATCTGCAAGAGCAACAGAGGATCATGGAATTCATAGAATAAGACTAAGGCTGGACATCAGGAAAGATGAAGAATAAAAAATGAGCATTTTGTGAGATTGCACAGTCAGAACTAAGGACAAAATGTGGTCCTTGGTTTTTAGATTGCCACAGTCAGAACTGGAAGAAATTTCATGCAACACCTTTTTGCAACGTCAACATTAATTGCGAAAAAGAATAATGGTAATTTCTGTGTTTCAACTTCTCGGTTATTTTTTGAATGGAGATGTTTAAATTGGAGTAGAAAGATCCTGAGAACTTAATATAAACAGAAGGGACTGAGTAGACATGCTTATGAAAGGATTTCTTCTAGACTGGTTTCCTAAAGAAATGAGGCTTATATAATTACACTGTGTATTTATCTTATGATAACAGGCCTGGTTTACTCTAATAACTTTTGAATAGGTCGTCCTATTACCATTATATCTGACAGCACTAGAGTTTTCTAAATAAAGTGAATTCCTTTAATTTCTTAAAAATAAGATTCATAAGAGAAAGACATTAATAATTCTCGTATTGAAGGAAAGGCTACCATCTGAACCTATACTTAATTCTCTAAACAAGAGAATTACCTGTGAAAAATGCCTTCAAATCCTGAAACCATCACAACATGACCACATCTCTTTCTGAGTGTCAAAATGTACCACAGGACACAAGTCTTCGGGAAACCATGTTCCGGGGCTCAAGAAACTGCCTGGTTTCCTTTTCTTTCACACAATCCATCATAAGACAGCTGTTAAGTAGCTGTGAAAACTTACATTTCATACATTTTCCCTTAGTCACGCTAAATCATTAGTTTATGTATGAAAACATCCTTTCTCGGACTCCCAAGTTCTGATGAAAAAAGAATTTTCATGAGAAAAATCCTCCTCAGATGATACCATTTCCTGTGCTAGTAGCTTCTAATTGCTGCAGACAATGTGAATATATATTAATTTATTTCCAGTAACAGCTGATCATGTCAGATAAGCAAATACTATGCTAAATATCACCTCCATTTCTTTAACTTCTTTGTATTTTTAAGGACTAATAAAACTCTGCTTACAACTTTCTATGTGAAAGCAGACACCAACCAGCCTTAGCAAGTGTTATTTGAAAGTCAAAGAAAGTAAATTTGTCAGACAGCTTTAGCTAAAGGCACTTCAGAACAAAGCAGTCAATGGTAAGTTCAGTAAGAAGAGTAAAATGAGGGATATCCTTACTTTCACTGCAGTTTTCTTCATCGCTTCCATCCTTACAGTCATTATCTCCATCACACTGGAATGCACTAGGAATGCACTGCCCGTTTCTGCACTCCACCAGACCCTGACTATGACATGCTAGAGAGAAAAAAAGACATTATTCTGATCAACTTAGGTTAATGAAGGTCTTAATTATTTTTTAATATCATCTTGAAGTTATTTTAGGAGGAGCTGATAACATTGCTTATCACTGAAGGTGACTAGACATTTTTCATTATATGTAGGCTATGTTTTCAACAGCCTACAGCTGTCCTGATCTTGAAGTACAGGGACTGCAACTATATATGTCAGGTATTAGGAACAGGCTGAGATGAAGGTTCAGCTTTCCCAAGAAAAAAAAACCATAATTTTTACTCATATAAAAATTGTCACCTTTTCTTTGCCCATTTACTTACATTCCTTTATTCAGATTAGGTTCTTCAATTTCAGGGAAAATTGTGGGATAGTGGTTGCAAGGTCAAGCACTGAATGGCAGCAAGAATCAATGCAGCATAAGCACATGTCTTATGAGAACCCTAATCACATTAAAACATGTGCTAGTTCCCCAAGACTTGATTTGGCAACATCAGCAATATTCTAGTATAGTTGTTTTGCAGATATACATGATCATCGGAGCAGACAGAAGTCCAGACTCTGACTAGGTGTGATAGGTCACATAAAAACACATCAGAAAGCTGTCACAAACTCAGAACACCTACAGTTTAAGAGGTTATATACATTAATTAATTAGTCCTTAATGAGAACAATTAATAAAAAGCTAATTCTGTAATTAACAAGAAGCTGAAACACAAGGCAATGCTGGTACTCCTCAACAATGGCAACAAATGTTTAATTTGCCACAGCTGTCTACCAGAAGGGACATTTGTCAAGTGTGAACTTCTGAAATCAAATAAGCTTATAGTTTTGCCTTACAAGAAATAAATAAGTATGCAACTTATCCTATATTTTGGGTTTTATTTTTAAAGAAATAAAAAACTAATTTAGAGATTAAGGGAACTTACAGCAATTGATTTCATCTGATTTGTCTATACAGTCATGGTCACCATCACATACCCAATCAGCTGTTATACATCTCCCATCTCCACACTGATGATGAGTCATTGGATTACAATCTAAATAAAATGCAAATTTGAGGACACAAAAAGGATGATAAATTACCATTTGTATAATTTATATTATTGATCAATTGTTCTATGCCTATAAGCTAATCATTCTTACTAATGAGCCATTTTCCATCAGCAAATTACGATAAGAGATTTTCTGTACCTGCAGATTTTTTTGCAGATGACAGTTACATGTGTTCTGAATTCTACTGCCTGTACAGGTAGTGATGAACTCATTCCTTCTCTCAGGCACACGGTGGTTTCCATTTGCAAATAAACAAGTTTCTAAGATTTGTTAAGCAGATTAAAAGATCTCCTGGCTCCTATCTCATGGAATGATTTTCAGTTAGCCAACATTTTCAGTTGCCATCAGAGGAAATCATTCCCTATATTTATCTTTTTACTAAGAAGTAAAAAAAAAAAAAAAGTTTCTCAACTGCCATATTTGGCACTTAATCAGAAACTATGTTTTTTGCATACACTCAGAATTTTCCATAAGAATTATCTACAAATAAACCATTCCAACCTTCACCTTACTCTTTCCACCCAAATGCTTCCACAAATGAAGAAAAGCATTCTGTCAAGCAGGCTGACTTTACACCAAAATAAATAGGGAGCGTAGACACAGTCCAGTCTGCCAAATCTGCTATGAAACCCATTTACAGCCTGTATAAAAAGTTAGACCTTAAATTTTATGTAGAAAAAAATATCTCAAGATAGGAATGGTAGGAGTTAGATTAATGTTTAGAAAAGTCTTTAATCAAAGATGGTTTATGAAAAAAAATATGAAACAACCAAAACTGACAGACACTAGTGACAGATCTTAGAGTATGTTTAATTTGGAGAAGAAACATAAAACAAATGTCAGAATTGTACCTTGAATTTTAGTTTTTAAATTCTCTGTGCTTTTCCTTAGAAAAGCAAAAGAAAAAAAAGTGAGAAATAATATTTTAACTTTTAAAGAATTATTTTAGAGTACTTAATTTTTCTTAGGTGTAGTACCAGGACCAAAAGTTAGAAAAAAAATAAGGCTTTCAAAGTTTTCCAATATTTACATGTGAAGATTATTCTTTTTTATGGCAAAACTTTTTTTTCCTATGCAAGTTAAGTGTAGGTAGAAAGACAAATATAAGGAGGTGGAACATACAAAGTTGATTGAAAACACAATTTGAAAGAAACAGAATTTAATCATCAAAAACATACAAGTTCACTATGAAGCTTATGTAAACAGTTCAGCTATAAAACAGTTGGCATCACCAGTGTATAGCCTCTTATGGTTTTCTTTAATCTCGGTTAAATTCAGCCAAGTTAGCAAGAAAGCAACCATAATGTCTTGAATTATTTTAAAATTGCAAATCAGAATATTTCTTCAAAATACCATTACCTTCAAAATTTGGATTAACCCAGAACTCTCCTTTAAACCTTTTCAAATTGCATATAGAATTTGTGAGCTGTTTCTTTTACTTTCCCCCAAAAGAATAACACCAGGGTATATGACTCTTTTAGTAGTTTAAGGAAAAAGATTGCTGGCTTAGACAATACGGCTATCTTAAAGACTTTAGAAAAGCATAAAACTTTCATTTACCACAGTTTTGTTCATCGCTAAGGTCTCCACAGTCATCATATCCATCACAAACAAAGGTATAATTTAGGCATTTTCCTGTGTTGCAACGAAATACATCATCACTGCAGTCTACAAAACAAGTTTTTGTAAAATGTTAAGATGAGATTGGAACAGTCATATAAAGTGGAATGTATTGGCTAAAACAAGATTAGCTAAAGATACCCTATAATTTACAGGTCTGTATTAATACTCCCTGTGTACCAGTTTATTAGAATCTAATATGAAAGAACAGGAAAAATCAAAAGCAATTTTTAGACATTTTTATTCTGTTCCTACCAACTGCTTTTTTGATGAATACCATGAGAAGAAAGCACTCTGGTTACACTTATGGTTCAAAATGTTTAATTAATTTATACACATAAAGTTCTGGAGAAAGGTTGTGGGTTTCATCAGCTAGATTATTAGGACAGTCTTGAGCACCTGATGTGGCTATTAGGTGGAGCTGAAGCTTCTAACAGCAAAATCAAGATCCCCAGACCCTGCTTTTGAGCTCAATGATTTCAAATAACCTTTATGCTTTATGCAGTTTTGAGCTCAGAATTTGGCCTGATGCCATCTCATCAAGGAATTCTTAGCACTGTCAGCTCTAAGTGAGTTTAGCCTTTCTTTCCATGGCTGAGGCCTTCAGGAAAACCCTGATAAATATTCTCTGAGAATATCCAAAATGCTTGAATAACGTCATGTTCGATAAAAACATGGAATCTACATTGCAGTTAGGAAAGGGGGAAGAAGAGAAAATAGGGTTGGTGGAGTCTGGTCCCATTAGTAATAACTTTTGATTACAAACACACAGTTGGGAAGTGGGTGACCTAGTCTCACTGCCTTCCTCTAGGCTTTTCCTTCACATCAGTCTTTTCCAGGGATATAGAACAGCTGGGTGGACAATCCCTCCTTCCTGTTGAAGCTATGCCACTGGAGCCAAGGAAGTTCTTTTTGCCCTTTCTTACTGGGATATGTGGGCATTTTAAATGAGCTCTTTCCTGGACAACATTCAGAAAGAGCTCCAAGAGCAGGGACTGGAACACAAGTCTCGCCCCTCAGCTGAGATGCTCAACCACTAAACAACAGAATCATACTACCACCTGCTTCTTTCCTCTCGGTGTGTGATGCCTGTGTTCATGATTGTACAGTGGTCCTACTTTGAAAGAAGGGTGTCCTTCTAAGTACGTTACACACTGAAAGGTGCAGCACTCTCCCAGAAGGTGCAGTGGTGTTTCTATCCCTCCTGATCAATGTCAGCCAAGTGTTCCACGTCCCAGGTGAGTGCTCTAAGTTTAAGTTTCTCAAGGCTTTACCAACCTCAACTCTAGAACTCGAACATGAATCACTTCTTCCCCTTCTCCCCATGGAAGTATTCATGCTTTCTACAAGTTTCATATCATCTTAGAAAGTCCAAACAGAATTTATAGCACAATGCCAATGCTTCAGGACATAAAGTAAAACAATACAGCTGAGCCATGACCTTTGTAGTCAATAGTTAATTTAGCTTTAAAAGAACAAAAGAAACAATAAATACCAAACCCCCCAAACTAAATGAAAATATTTAAGTTCCAGTTTCACGTAAACAGAACAATAGCCAAGGGAGAGTAAAATTCTAAACATTACTTGTTTTGAGTATGCAACAGCGTGAAGTACTCTGGCAACCTCTATCCCTATTGATCGTGTGTAACTGACAGTTTCTGTGCTTTCATTGCTCCTCATGCAAATGAAACAAAGCTGTCTTTTTCTATGTTGTTTCCTCTGGATAAGTTTACTGTTCAGTTTCCATCCATACCCCCACTCCTGTTTATATTCATACCTCTGTAGCTGCAGCAGTGTCCTTTAGGGTATGGCAGCTCTCAGGCCCACCACACAGGGTAAACAAAAAGAATACAAAAAACTTCCTTGTGAGGAAATAAGATTCAGTTGATGAAAAGCTAACAGTCTTAACATACATTTTCTTCAAGATATGGGCAATAACATATAGCATATAGTAGCGGGTAGCTAGTTATTTTTATCACAGTAAGATGGGCACTTCGCAGCTGCCATTTGTAAAAGGCTCAACTTAAATTCTGTTAATGATGGGACAAGCCCAGTTTTCATAAAATTAAATACAAATTCCTATTCTATACTCCACTAAACACAAATAAAGCCTGGTCCTTTTGCCTTCAGCAACCTTTTGATCTCTGTTCATGCACCCCCGGTTTTCACCACTTCACTATTGCATCATGTGTCCTTCTGACCATGAATCACCTCAGCCAAACACTCAGAGGTGATTTTAAAGATGTATGTTTAAAGATATATGTGCAGACTCAATGCACAAATTCTGCCACTTCTAGGAGAAAATAAGACCTTAATTCAACAAGACGCTCTATTCTGGAGCGTGGCATGCAGTGGCACATGTGTGTAAACATTTTCTTTTGTATTTTATTACTAAAATGGTCTTCATCTTGTTCACCCTTTGTGAAAGAGAAGTATGACTGAGAAAGTCACACAAGGAGGAAGAAGCAGCAAGTGTGCATACTAGGGAAGTGTGTGTGTAAGTGCAACCAGAGGGATGTAAGAGAGCCTGTTGCATTTCATACATTACATGTAAAACTTGTTCATCAGGATCCTTCTGACAGTTCAAGTTTTGGCACTGATAATTTATGCATTTGTAGATCAGCGTTACAGCTTCTTTCCTGTTCGTATTCCTATGTGATAGCTGGCTGAGCTGAATTCTGATTCCTCAGCTGGTACCTTCCATTGCACAGTCACAGAGTAAATGGTATAAGCAACATGACGAAATCCTAAATATCAGTTTTCGGCTGCAGCTGTGTAAAAAAGTGACACTGCTGTGTAAATTAAACTGCACTTTCAAAAAGAGGGATGGATTCTGCTAAAGCCTAACTATTGCCTGCATACTTATTATGGCCCATCGAAGGGAAGAAGAGAAAAACGCATGTCAGGAATAGAAAAGTGATTGCATCATGTGATCACTTTCTTGATGCAGAATCCTGAAAAGAGATTCTAGGAAGAACTATTAATATGAAAAAGATTAAAACCAGAGACTTCTACATTTCATAATGTATATAATTTTCAACATTAAAACTAAGGAGGCACAGCTGTAAGATTCACTCATGTAACTTTAGACATCTACATCATCTCGCTTCTAAAGCACATAGCCCATTTAAAATATCTGCTTAAAGTCAGACAAATCATGCATCAGAAGTGTCTGTTTCTCTCAGTTGATTCACCATACAGCCAGTTTAGACATTTACCTCAGATAAAGTCACATGCACAGGGAAAGACAACTCCCTCCCTAATGTACGTAACTTCATAAATAAAAAAGAGAGACGTCTCCAAACTGGTAGCATCTAAAACAAATACAGGAAGTCCTGTATTTTGGAATTGCAGATGGGGGAAGCTTTGACAGGAACCTGGACATCCTAGCAGAATGCCTCTGGATACATTTACTTTTTTTTTATCTGGAATTATGAACCAAACCTGATTGAGCAATACCTTTAAGACCAAAGGTGTTGAGGTGAATGGGCTTCATCTTTTTTCACCTTATCCTACCATCAAAGGAGCTGATCACAGTGTTACAAGCACAAATCAATGCATCCACCAGGTTACTGGAACTGGCACTGAGGCAGCAAACAAGCAAGCTGCTCTGCTATTACTGCAGCTGTCTTTAACAAAAATGGGGGAGGAAATGTAGAGATGGATAAAAGAAATATTCAGATTAGTATGAATTAAACAGAAAAGGAAATATGTGTGTGCACGAAGGCATCAGAAGCAAGAGCAGAATAAGATATAAAGGAATGCTATATGTTAATTGCTACAGAGCACTGTAAGCATGACTTCATTTAAATGATCAGGCAGCAAGATGAGTAACAACCTGCCCTAAAGATAAGGAAACAAGACTCATAGAATCACAGAATCGTTTAGGTTGGAAAAGATCCTTAAGATCATCCAGTCCAACCGTTAACCTAACACTGGATCCTTAAGATCATCCAGTCCCACAGTTAACCTAACACTGCCAAGTCCCCCACTAAACCATGTCCCCAAGCGCCACGTCTACACGTCTTTTAAATACCTCCAGGGATGGGGACTCAACCACTGCCCTGGGCAGCCTCTTCCAATGCTTGACAACTCTTTCAGGGAAGAAATTTTTCCTAATATCCAATCTAAGCCTCCCCTGGTGCAACCCCCTGGTGCAACCGGAGGCCATTTCCTCTTGTCCTATTGCTTGCTACTTGGGAGAGAGACCGACACCCACCTCACTACAACCTCCTTTCAGGTAGTTGTAGAGACCAATAAGGTCTCCCCTCAGCGTCCTCTTCTCCAAACTAAACAACCTCAGTTCCCTCAGCTGCTCTTCATCAGACTTGCTCTCTAGACCCTTCACCAGCTTCGCTGCCCTTCTTTGGACACGCTCCAGCACTTCAATGTCTTTCCTCTAGTGAAGGACCCAAAACCGAACACAGTATTCAGAGTTGTGGCCTCACCAGTGCCAAGTACAGGGGGACAATCACTTCCCAAGTCCTGATGGCTACGCTGCTCCTGATACAAGCCAGGATGCTGTTGGCCTTCTTGGCCACCTGGGCACACTGCTGGCTCATATTCATCTGGCTGTTGACCAACACTCCCAGGTCCTTTTCAGCCAGGCAGCTTTCCAGCCACTGTTCCCCAAGCCTGTAGCGTTGCACGGGGTTGTTGTGACCCAAGTGCAGGACCTGGCACTTGGCCTTATTGAATCTCATACAATGGGCCTTGGCCCATCGATCCAGCCAGTTCTGAAATTCTATAAAGTACTTTTACTATCTAGATGAAAAAATATGCTGTCTTTTAGCTTTCTGAAGCTTTAAGTGCCACTGCCAAGACATACTTGAGGACTAATTTCATTCTCAGAATCACAGAATAGTTGAGGTTGAAAGGGACCTCTGGAGGTCATCTGGTCCCATCACGCCCTGCTCAAGCAGGGCCATCTAGAGCCAGTTACGCAGGACTGTGTCCAGAGAGCTTTTGAGTATCTCCGTGGATGGAGTCTCCACAACCTCTCTGGGCAACCTCTGCCAGTTCTTGGTCACCCTCACAGTAAAAAAAGG